AGGGAAATTAAGCGGCAGAGCTTGCAACAGTCTCTATTGGTGCGTTATTTCTCTACCATTTTAACATAAATATCGTAGTTATAGAGGAATATTATTACGAACATTATATATAGACGAAGTAAATAAACTAAGCGCGACACCCGCGCGAGTATCACACGTCTGGGCACACCAAGTCTGGGCTGCGTATGGAATAACACGGCAATTTTAAAACATTGAAGAGTCTTAAGACAAAGTAAAGTGATTTGAATTGACCACGTTCAAAGCAGCCAGAGACAGATGTGATAATTAAACTAGCTGATCATTCTAGATGTATATCAGACCATGGTCGTGAATCTCGTTTTCCATTTCTTGACGAAGACGTTGTGTCATTTCTAAATGACTTGCCGGTTTGGATAAAGGTTGGTTCAAAACTTTTTTTTTTGGTTATATTTTGTTTATTTCTTCAAACAAGCTTGTTATGTATAGGCTTAGCTGAACGTTGATTGAGGATTCCTAGCTGCTAGGAGTTTACTGGTACATGCATTTCCCAAAACACCCTAGTTGTGCTCAATTTTTGCTCAAAATTTCATCTATTGTATTATTTGTGTACTAATGTGACGTTTGATGCATTCAGTGTGACCCACGCTTACCTCGTGGGATCGGTGAGAAAATCCTTTTACGCCGATTGGGAAAATCCCTTGGCCTGAAAGGTTCATCCGCATTGCCAAAAAGAGCCATCCAATTTGGATCAAGAATTGCAAAATTAGAGAGTTCTAGCGAGAAAGGGGGTGAGAAGTGCAACAGATTTTGATTTCAACGAAATGCGCAAGTACATTTGGATTGTTTTTCTAATTCTGAACTATTAATTGGAGAATTTGTGATGATGACCTTGCAACAATAATTTATAATCGAATACTGATATTGATGTTTTATGAAATGTAGGCGGATTTATTTTTGAATTGTTTTATTTTATACTTTTCCTATAAATTTATCTAATTGCCTTTAACACAATTACCTAAAATAGCTACAATCATTCTTTAATAGATAGATATCCTAGAATATATAGCTACATTTTTCATTCCACCAAATTCTCAATTGTTCATATTTTGTATAATTCGAAATAGTAAAGTACGCTACAGGACTACCTAATAAAAATAGATATTCGATTTCCTATAAGAAGCAAAATTGTTTTAGTTTCCTACAGTCGAAGTGTGTTCGTTCAACTTTTCTCTTTATGTCTATTGTTCGTATTCATATTTTCTCTACACTTCCAATAAATTGCAGGAAGTAAAGCGTCAAAATCAAAGTTCCCAAAATCATCGACACATTTCGATTTCAGTTCGATGTCTTCGTCGCTCAACAAATGCACATGGCGGGAATTCGCTGGTTTTTGCGAGGTTTCCAAAATTGTCCTCGAATCGTCGAACTTTGGCGGGAAACAATATACACGCACATTACTACTGCACTGCGTCTTCGGCTGTGATTGAAAATTTAACTTGTTGTTGATTCTAGGAGTGCATTTTGCTCTGCGTCCTCGGTAAATCTGCACTGGATACGGTTTTTCATCGCTTGGTGACGCAAACTTAAAAATCTGTAATGCCGCCGAGGGATTTCGCGCCAAAAGTTGAAGTAACTGCGTACACTCGCTACCCTCCGGCGATGTTTTCGCCTGGTGTTCAGGTGAACTGGACATCTTGTAGTTGTTTCCCCTTCTTGAAAGATGAAGACCTTGGTTATTGTTCATAGTTTCGCAGCATCGTGCGCGCCTCGCACGCGAAATTAACCGTTGTCTGACAGCTGATTTGAATGGCGTCATCAAACGATGCATTGTTTCGTCACAGTCAATTCAATCAAAATTATAGCGCGTGCGTGATTACAAATTCATCAGGAGCCATGTAAAGGTAAGTACAAGAATGGTTAGCATTTATTGAATGTAATTTTTTGTTCTTTACGGCAAATTTGATTGTTCCGTTAAAGGTTCGCGAGAGTTGCGATCTAAGAGAAGTGGTAGTAAAGGAAAAAATTCTATTGTGCTCATCCGAGCACCTACACAGCAAAAAATCATTTTCTTATTTCAAGAAAAAAAAACTTATTAAGAAAATTTTCTTAAAATGAGTTCAAATTTTCTTGGGAGAATAATAAGAAAATTTTCTTACTTTTTTTCTTAAGAAATTTTCTCTTAAGAAAATTTTCTTAGAATAAGAAAAGTTGCACACAAATAATTTCTCAGTTTAAGAAAATTTTCTTGAAATTAGTCCTAAATTTCTTATAGAATGTTCATAATGAGAAAAATTTTCTTAAGAAATTTGTTTTAATATAAGAAATATTTTCAAGAAAATATTTTCTTATAATAAGAAAACTTAATTCTCAAGAAACCCTAGAAACTCTGACATGATATTTTGTTATAAGTAAGAATGTAATGTAAATTTACTAAAATATTCATGAGTCATAATATAGAATACACAGCAGACATTAATACATGAGAATTATAGGCCCTACATGATTATATAGAAATACAGAGAAATGAATGATTATGTATAATATTGCACCCCGGCTTTGAAGGTTTTGTATTTGTCCAGTGTTTATAATTGACATGTTTTCAAATATCAATTATTGCAGTACAGATCAATTATTGCAAAAGGATTTTTGTGGTCCTTAAAATCAGACGAGACATCATCAGATAAATTTGAGAGTAAATAATTTAAAAATTGGTGTGAAGTAAATCCTAAGTTCACACTTAACTTAAAATAAAACTTTGCAATCATGTTAGGAATTGAGTACATCAAACAAAAAATACTGGTAAATAAAAATTTAGCTACTCTGGGGAATTTTAAGCTTTTCTTTAGCTATTCCCTGCTATACCGGCATCTTTAATAAGAAAACTACTTTAAGACCATAATTTATCAAATACACCCATCCTTCAATTCATTCTACACTGCTTTTCTACCTCCCTATGATAGTTTAAATTCCAATCAATTCACCATGAAAATACATGTAATTAATTCAAACAATATATAGATAGAGCCCTTATCCAATGAAATCAAATGGTGTTAAATCCAAAAATTGTCCCTAACAAAATATGGATGGATAAATGTATCTGAAGGCAAAATAGAGAGCTTTGTGATCATTTTAATGATATAGGCAGACTCTGATGCACAATTTATACCCTTTGGAACAGTCTCAACCCTACTGTGGAGAAGCACTGTTACATTAACCCCTCTGGATTTAGTAATTAGTATCAATCTGAAAATACAACTCAACTCCTATCCTTCATTTCAAACAAAGACATTAGAAACACTGCCATATGCTGCTCCTTAAATATATATATCACAACATTGGACTATTCTATTTTGCTTCTCTGAGGTATTCTAGGCCATAATTGCTGAGGAATTCTAAGGTATTGTTTAGCTATCCCTGCTATTAGTGCTATAGCCAATTATTTAACTATATAAACAGATAATAACATGGAAAATCATAGCGCAAATCATTGAACGATGAAAATACAATTCTTGATCTATAATAGGGTGGAATAAAGGCTAACGAAGGCTTGTTAATAAAGGCTTATACGTTGTATATAATAACACACTCGATCAGCATGTTGGCATATGACATCATGAAACATCAACTCACCTTATGAAATACCACAAATTCGCACCGATATAGTGTATATTTTCTCACATCCTAAACGTTCATATCTTTATCGGTAATATATAAAGTTAATAACAAGATACAAATGCCATATTCGCCGTAAAAAAGCAATATTTCTTTACTATGCGTTAATAGCGTTATAGGTTGTTTCGCTAAGTATTCAAATTTCCCTCGTGGTCTACGCTCGAAAGGCATAATGGGATAAATGGAATAATCAGGCTCTGCGTCAGGCTGGACCATATAATTATAAGTATTGGAATGCTTTGAATTATCTCACGCTGGATTTCCGTAAATGAAAACAGCATTTTGCAAACATTATATTATGACTTTGTTCTATTTTAACGGTTCTTGACCGAATATGTCACGCCATGCTTGTAAAGTGCAAGTACGAAAAGCTTCATTGTTGACTCATACTGATGTAGTTAGCTAGCGCTAAATTAATAAAATCATCTAATGATCGGAACGAAAAACAATAAAATATGAACCATATACAACTTTTTGAAATCAACAAACTTCAACAATAAGGAACATTTGAAACACAAGTAATTTCAGTGAAGTTTACTCTTACCTGAAATTCTTCACATTTAATACGAAGAGCATTTTCTTAGTTTAAGAATATATATTTCTTATAACAAGAAATTGATATCTCAATATTTTCTTAAGAAAACAATTTCTCATTTTAAGAAAAACATTTTCTTATGATAAGAAAGTGATATCTCTGATATTTTCTCGAGAAATAATTTTCTTATTTCAAGAAAATGTTTTCTCAATTTAAGAAGAAAAAAATCTTCAGAAAATATTTTCTCAAAATAAGAAAATTATTTCTTGAAACAAGTAAATATTTTCTTAAATTAAGAAAATTCAATTTCTTAAGAAATTCATTTTTTGCTGTGTAGGTGTTTTATGGTAGTTTTTTTTAACCGCATCATGGAAGACGAAGAGATAATTGTGTATTTGTATTCATGTAAAAATGCAGACGTTCCTGGTTGATGCAAACGGGACTAAACAGTGTTGTGCAGAAGCTCACAGGAACATGCTTGTGATCAAGTTGGGACAACCTATTTAAGCTGAAAACGCTATTGCAATTTGACAGGTACGTTCGTAGGACAGCATGATTTGTTCAGCGCTGCATGCTTTTATCAACCGATAACATCCCTGTAAATGTTGGCCAGTTATATTAACCGCTCACCTTTCAAATAATACAACAGTATGATGTAATCTTATATATGGTGATTAGTCGAAACGTTTATATACTTTATGAGTTTATGTTCACATTTTATGGAGTTTCTCTTAAACTCACTGATTTGTATTCTTTTTGCCATGTATTGGGTGTCGATAAAAAATGCGACAATACGACAATTACAGTACGAATTCAAACTGAATTGCATTTTATTCCATTCAATCGTGATTTACAAAAATTCATGCGGGTGCTTGGCTACAAAATGATCTATGAAAATAAGTACAAAATTCTAAAGTTCGTGTTGAAAAATGGTGGTGATATAGAAATCACATGACATCGATGGGCACTATAAAGACCCTTTCCTCAGGCCGCAGGTCTTTTTCTCTTATTCTTTCTCTATAAGTAGAACAGGTGCATGAATTATTTGCTTTTCGAAAACATTCTTAACCCCCTCGAATTAAACGTCCACTAGTCTAGTGCAATTCTACCTTGGTATACTTTCTCGAACTAAAAAAATTCTTACTATGATGAATAACTAGACTACTCACGTCATGTACTTGTCCCGAACCAAATCAAATTTGCCCGTTTTCGATTTAAACACGCTTGAGTTACCATTTGCTGGTTGTGCTTCGTGATATCTCTCCATGTCATAACGACCTGGGCCAACTGGATTCTATGAAAGACGATATAAAGGGAAATTTATCAACATAACACCTTGTACCATAAAATTGCTTTCACTGAATAACAGTTCATTTTGATTCCATGCGCCGACACCCAAAACGTCATGGTTTTACATACATTGCTTGCAAGGAAGAATTTTCTGGCGTGTTTATCAAAGCGTCCAGCCGAGGAACCAAATCCAGGCCGTTTTATTGGCTCGGATTTACTGAGGCTGCGTGGTGTATAAGAACCGGGTCCAACGTCGGTCTAAAACCCAAGACATAAGGATATCATATGTGCACATTGGCTAATGCATTCAGACAGTTCTCAAATAATCTAAATCATACCTTTCCTTGGGGACATTGACTCAGTGTGCTGAAGTAAATTCTATTTGCCGGATAATCCGGGAATCTTTCTAATTTCAAAAACCTTCCGTGACGATTTTTATGTTCGCCTTAAAAAACAAAGGAAAGCCAACAAATGTCAGTTTCGCCGATCAAGCTATTCGAGGTATATGATATACAGCAGCCTTCTCGCTTTTAAAATCGGAGCAAAAAACGATAAAAAATCTTGTGTTGATGGCTAAACCAGTTTTTTTTGAAGGACTAACCGGAAAGGTGTATCGTAAGTAGCCTATATCGTAAGGAGAGTACGCTGCATATTTTTTATCAATAGCAAACTTCTTCCATCCAATTAGTTAAGCATACACTTTTTAATACACCTTATGTATAAATTTTTCTAGCAAAACTTGATCTCTCGGTGCAAGCTAATCGATTTACTATGCGCATGCGCGTAGATCTCACCGCAATCAATAGCATCATGGTGTCTGCTATAAGTTCAAAGAATTTGGTTGTAGCACTACTTCACCGCCACGTCCTTAGCATGGGGGAAGGTGCCTCAATGAACGACTAGTGAGAGGGCCGCAACCGCTGGACAACTAAATTAACCAGAGAGACTTTAGCTTTAACTCTCTGAATTTTTTGAACGTTGTTCACATGAAAGGACAACAATAAATATATGGTAAAAAAGGTAATGGTGTCGTATATTTGTTACAATTTAGTGAAATGGAAGCATATTTTGACAATTTTTGACTCTCAAACCTGGCGTAAACATTGGAAGATTACGTGTATTCGGCAATATGTCATATACTTACTCTTAAATTCGTGTAGAAATGATTGAATGTCGTATTGCCCAGGACCAAGGTTGGCTCGAATCTGCAAGAAGTTCAATAATTATGGAAATGTCGTATATTGGACAATTATTTCGCTGATTTTTGTTGTACTTGTACATTAAAGGATTTCCTACCGGAACAGCAAAGTGTCCAGCAGTAATGGGCTTGTTTCTTGATCCAGTGAAAAGATCGTACGGACCGCGTTTACTGACAACTCTTTCGGCGAGTTTGTCCGTAAAGCTTTTTGAATTATACTGACCAGGACATAGATGGGAACCCTTCAAGGGAAAAATCTATTATAGAACTCTTACACTGAAAAAATATAGATTACAGTAGCTACAAAAATCCATAAGAAGAAAAAGAGACCTCGAACTGAGAACAATGGACGAGTTGCGCTTTAGACTAATTTCTTATCTCATGCAGCGATAAAAATAAAATTTTCTGAAAGAGCTTACTAAAATGTTCTAAATTACGGAAAATATAGCCATGGGAAGTTGTCGATTTTTGTATACTTTTTTATTACGCCCAGAAGTTTGTATATAGTTACACATTTCCGCGCGTAATACAAAAGTACAAAATATGCCAACTTTGCACCATTTGGCTATATTTTTCCCATTTTAACAAATTTTGCAGCCAAACTTTGCATTTGCATTTCATTCAAGTACGCTCTTTCTAGCTGTGATGAATGAGGATTTATTTTCTTCTTGTTACTTTGAACAAAGGTTTTAGTCGAAAGCGCAAGTCGTCCATTGGACTAGTGAAAAACAGGTGTTAGATATGTGAGAAGATCTAGAAATGAAACCTTTCCCATACATGTCCCGCATGCATTTGTAATTGCTAATGTCGTAATGAAATGATGCAAAACGTACCACTTCTGGGAGTTTTCGCTCAGATTTTCCTGACTCCAGCATCCCAACATTACTTGCTGACAGTTTTTGCTTTTCCTCTACAGCAGCGTTAGGTATTCCACCTTTTCCGTATGTTCCAGGACCCGGGATATCGCTCTTTGGAAAAAACACCGAAACAGTGACATGTAGCTATTACTGTCTGACTTTGCGATGAGTTGAATCAGTTAACAGAGCAACGAGACAGTGTCGCAATCAATTTAAACGCATTGCGTCAAAAATGCACCTTTATTATTATTTGCTCTTCTAACGGAAAAAGGTTAATTCATCAGGAATAGTAACTTAATAACTTGCCAACAAAAACTCCCACTCTACCAGAGAAATCGATGACATTTCCTTTGGCAAACGTTAATGTAATTTACATGCGTGTATGAAAGCCAGGTTTTTGACACGAGAGAAAGTTAAATGGCGAGAGTGTGACTTTTGCGTAATTTCTTTGTTTGTACGGAACTATAACCACACTATCCATGCGGTTCTTATCATATCCTTAAAAAACTTGCGACACTTCAGCGCTAAGTAAAACCACGTCGCCGTTGAAAAAATCGTATACAGTTAATATATTTTGCAACTTTTTTCGCTATTTAAAAAGGGCGTACAAGTGACCAAAATTCATCAACAATCAATCAGTGAGTAATCTTCACATCGCTTCAAAGGCAAAATAGGACGGTTTAATCAATAATGAACCACGCATTTGATATTGGGTATCTCTATTCTAATAATTAACTTAAATTGAGGTTTTCTTTTAAAACTAAAGGTTTCAAAAAGGAATACACAGTCATGCACCGGATAAAAGTAAATCCTTGAAGGCCGTTTTGGTTTCTCGATAACTTCTTGTCATTTTCACTTCCTGAGAATCAGTGTACGTAAAGTAGAAGTACAATTGTATCATTGAAGTACAACCGTATACCATTTCATCAGACTTTGAACAGCTATAATTGCGACATACATAAAACTGAAAATAAATCCTTTAAATCGTATACCTACCTTCCCCGCAGCAAGAAATCGTCTCTCTCTTGTTTCACAAATTCCACGAACACTTCCCGGTTTGGAATCCAGTAATTCAGCAAAGTCTTTTATCTCGTATGTTCCAGGTCCAAGTTGTTTTTTCTATAAAAAAAAGTAAAGAGGAACATTTTCTATATGCCCTAGGAGGGATTAGGGTATCGTGTTTTGATGAAAGGGGATTTTTCTTTTGCAATCTTTTAAATGGATGGAAATGAATGATTTTGAAAATATTTTTCCGACTTTACACAATAGAAACAAAGGAGAGAAAGAATATTCGGCAGGGGGGATACAGGAATTCATGAGTGTCACAATTAGATCATGCATGATATATCATCCTACCTGCAACTGTTTTTTGTTCCATTCTTCTTTATAGAGTAGGTGCGGACACTTAGCTTCCTGCATCGTTTCATAAGCTCTTTCCCAACCTGCACACAATACGCTATATTAGTTATTTGTACTTATGTAGCTTAAAGGCTTCATTTAAGTATACTGGTATCAGACCACAAAAATACTGGGTACACCCCCTGACAGCATGGTGTTATTCCAGGGAGGACCGCTCTTTTCAGGATACTTGCTTAGGTTTCTCCACAAGCATATCGACAAATATTCGCTTGTACAAACTCGTATATGCCGTACAAACTTGTTATTTGCGAGAATTTTTTATAGAGTACCTGGCCCAGATGATCTTTCCCGGACGGCTTTTTCACAGAAGGAGCCATTAGCCACGTTGTACTTGCCAGGTCCAAGACTTCGACTCTAAAAAGCGAGTACTGCATGTTATTGAGATTTGAGCCCCAAATAGAAAAATTATCTTCCAATTTACTGTTGACTAGAAGATGTCTTAGTGACAAACAGCAAGACCGTGTTCACTGCTTTGCATTATTAACTTTGTGTCTTCGGTGTCATCTGCAGATGAATACTTATACGAGTGCATTTTAAATACCGCGACTCACACTCAAACACATTGGAGGATCTCAATCACTTAATAGCGATTCCTTTGCTGTATTTTCACTCGAATAAGAGATTTTCAATGTTTTATCTTGTCCCTGAACAGGCCCTGTTGATTTTTCTTAATAAGAGGGAGGGGGGGGGTAGTTACCAGGAGCAAACGGGACTGTGGTGGGGGTATTGGGGGAGATCATCACGCTTATTTTAAAAACTGAAAGACAGTCACAAAAAATTTCATTGAATTTCCATTGTTTTTGCACCATTCAAGATGGCGTCTTATCGGCCACGAGTCAGGCGACCAGGTTTTTGTAAACTTTCAAATAGCGCATCGTAAGTGTATTTATGCGGTCCAATATGTGACCGCACAAAAGGAAGTACGTCGTTCTTTTAAGGTAGGTTGATTTTCTTATACAAAACTGTAGTTTATAATTGAAACTTAGGCCACAGAGTACTACACAGAGGTGGAACTCGCGGCAAATCTTGTCCCCCTGTTTTTAATGCGCACGCGCTAGGCTCTGGCAAGTGTTTTTGCACTTTTTAATAAGGAAAATTCGATTTTTTAGCAGAAAAAATGCAATTTTAAAGCCAAGGGTCTTTTGCTCTTCGTTTTTTTGACAAATCTTATTTATCCATCCGACATTGCTCCTTTTGGATTAAAAATGACTGCGATAATACGAATTCAAACGGGAAAAAAAGGGAAATACAACTACGAGGAGTGCGATTTTCACACGAAGCTTCTAGAACTGCCAGGTAAATATTCAAAGTTTGGTATTTCATCTAATAAATGTAGGTCTATCTGACTATATTTCGCCAACATGCAGTCGTATTTTTTTCTAGATGGCGAAACAATCTTCTCAAAGTCAGTTAACTTTTGAGCGGACGACATATCTACTGTTCAACAAGATAGCAAGTTACGTGGCTATTAAAAAAGTTTTACAACGCATACGTAGTTTACTGATATTTGTGAACCCTATTATGTCTCCTATGTGTATTATATTCACATCCAAATTTGGAAAATAGCTTTCAATCTTCTCATAGAAGCCACACAGCATTGCATAGATTAGATTGGAAATTGATCTGCATGTCCTTCATGAATATTACAATCATGTATGAACTGAAATTAATATCTGTTAGCACATTTACCATTTGTGTCAGTGTGTGAAGTTGGATTTATACTCATGTAAAAAGTATTGTATATATATATATATAGGTAAAATTTGCATTTGTTTATTGTAAATCCTTTGAATTCAAGTTCAAGATTCGAATAAAAAACATGTAGTTTTTGCTAGTTTTATGGCAAAATAAATTATTTTCAAAGAAATTTTTCGTGTGTTTGAATTTTAGAAATAACACATCAATCATGCTTGTTTTAAGATCAGCTCAGATGTTTTCTGGATGGAAAAATAACTGCCTAATTTATAATCGGCGATGATGTTGGCAATCAACTTGATATTTATAAAGAAAATCATTCGTGCTTGTATTTCTTACCTCTTTAACCTAACGCATATATTTTTTACAAAAACACAACCATTTACCGTTTGTTTTTAAAATTTAGGCGCAAAAATGGAGGTCGATAGAGCCAGCTTTAAAATATTAACATTTTTCGTCTTTCGAACACCTTTTCTCCTTACTTTAGAGTCAAAATACACTTGCCAGAGCAATTTGCGTGGCGCGTGGAATGGCGTGGGCAGGGGGACAGCAACATCAAAGGGTTCCGCCGCGAGTTCCATAACTGTATATCATTAAACTGTGCTTAGGCGTCTTATTCCATTTCAGGAGCATGTCGGCACGGCATCATTCACGTATAAAATATATTATATTATGTTCTTGAAAGTTTTCCTTCGTCATTAGAATTAGCTAGATCACTGCAGGCGTTACATATAGAAATGTGCTCAATCTTCCTCCAATATAGCTAATAGCATTAGTGATTGCAGTGATTACACCGTATTTCGTTTTCAACCCCACAAATTTGAAATTTAATACCGGGGGCATAAAAGCTGGCAACTAAGTACGAAGTTCCTTCAGCTCCCTTTATAGATTTTGAGGCATGTGGTCGACAAACCCCTGCAATGTTATGTTTGCATCTTCATGGTATGATTAATAATCCGTCTGTAAATTTTATGTGTTCAAGCATGTGACACAAGTACTCACAAGATCACTGATGGATTTTTTGTCATAGGCGACTTGAGTTAAGGTTCCAGGTGTCTTGCTTTTAGGATGTAAACCAGACACATCAAATCTAAACAGCAATTAAATTAGGTTGATTATATTAGTGTTTATGAAAATTTAGCTCAGCCATCACAACATATTTGTGGACATTCATACAAGTAATCATTATGGCCTTGGAATTTTATTTCATTGTGTTTATTTATATACATACAACACATTCAGCATAACTGATGCATGTGAGGATCAAATTGATCGATCAGTGCCCACCCAACAGAAAAGGAAACCATACAGAATAATTAATTACACTGAAGCAGTAATTTCTATCTTGACCTTTGATCCGACCTCCAGTAGCATCTGCGCTATAGTAGCTCTCAAAGTTAGTGCACAAAGTAAAAATATATACAAGTACATCTATTTCTTGCATATTATTCCAAAGTGGTTTTGTAATGCAGAGAGAGTTAAGAGATTGCGATCAGAGAATTCTAAACAAGTCAATAATTTAAAAATAGATATTTTCATTGTAGCCTCTGTACATCTGCCAATTAGGTAAATTGTACATCAGTTTTGTACCATTGCAATGTATTGTCGATATTTGCCAAAAAGATTTCAACATAGGGGTTTTATTTAATAAGAAAGAGGCTTGGAACATAGGTCTGGTTGTCAGGGTTCAATGTTTATACATTGTTTGAAAAATATGAGACATAGTAACAAGTATATATTGAACTTCTAATCAATGCATGCTTTGGCAGGGCATTGTATTGACTGGATTTCCAAGCAGTTTATCATTTATGCTTTCCAAGCTTTATGATTTCCAAGCAGTTTATCATTTATAGGGAAAATCGGTAAAAAATACTAATTGACATTGTTATCAGCCTTTATCTCTCAATTCCACCTAAAATATATATTACTAAATTCACTCATAATATAGTAATATTGTTTGATACATCATATGCAATATGCATTACCACTAACTGTTACTATCTAAGCCTGTGGGTCCGAATTATTATTGTATAGAACCTTAAATTATATACAATAAAATCAAACAGGGTCTCGTTGCGTCTTGCCACACAGGCAAGCTTGCAATTGCGCACCTGATTTATTTGGATATTCGGAATGCTGGCGTTAGTTAAGGAAATTTTTAAAGCGTTAGGGAGAAGAAACACACTGTACGCATCTTTAAACTTACACCAAATGCATTTTCTAATCAACGATTTGACTCCTGACGGTTGATCAGTCGACAAACAAATAGGAAAATTAACTTCTTAATACGACTAGTTAACAATACTTGTGTATTTAACATATAGTCGCTTCTTACCGAGCGCTTTGGACGCCGAAAGGTGCACCGCGAAAGCCTTTCGAAGACATCTGATTTGTTGTTTCACTTCATGAAAAGACGCTTCTCTTTCGGCAAAAAATTAAACAAATTTACTCTTGACTTCGCGCTCCTCCGCTTCGACCATGTCCATGTTGCCTGTTGGAATTAAAAAATACCTTGTCTCTATGGCAACAAATCAAAGGACGCTTCGGCCACAGGACGTCCAAGCGGTGATTGACAACTATTGGATGAGGTTGAGTGTGATATCGAGAATTATCAAGCCGACGTTTGCATTATTCAAACTGAGGATAATGCAAACTGAGGCTTGATAATTCTCGATATGATGCGAAAACCGAATTCAATAATTGTTTTATTATGTATTTTCTTTTTAGAGAGGAAGCCTGTGCCATTATTGACAACAAACTAGCGGCAAAAAATTACGTCACCTACGGATAATTTTCAATGTCTTGTAGGTGGCAAGACATTGATAATTATCTGTAGGTTTTTAGCCAATCACAATCGAGATTGCATTAGTAATGCATAAGAATACATTTTTAATGCATTTTGTATGCGTGTATACGCAGAGACGACGGAGCGTTATATCAAGTGCGGGGGCTACATCTTTACTCTTACTTATGATGTTATAAAAACGATTCCAAATACTCAGCACTGCTCAGTAAATGAGAAGTGTAAACATCATTTGGTTTTACTGTAAATACAAAGTGGGGGGGGGGTTAGCCCCTCAGCCCCCCCCCCGGCTCCGCCGTAATTACGGTTTCAATATTTTCCTCATGTGGGAGACTATTCCAATGCGTTGCTGCATTATAATTGAACAACCTTTTGCCAAATTATATTTTTGGCATAGTTGGTGCTAGGTCAGTTTTTCTGTTTCTAAAGTTATAGGTGATATCTCACATCTCTTTTATACTTCAAACCAAAATCTTTCCGATTTTGATATTTTTGCAACAACTTGTCTTTGTGGCTAATTCCACAATTATCCCATAGCGGGCTGCAGTAATCGAAATATGGCTGCACAGTCATTTGCATTGTATAACATTTTTATAGAGTGGTGCGTGGCACAAAATGCTTAACTCGTCTAATCTTCAGCTTGTATGCAAATTAACCCATCTCAAATGAAATGGTTAAGTTTTATTGGCTATTCCATGGTTTAAACATCTGAAATGAGTTTAGTTTACATGCAAGCTACAAGCTGAAAAGGTCTATTGCATCAACACCGGCACTAAGACCTATAGGACTACCCACAATACGCATATGCACGCACGTGCCTATCTCTAGTCTTCGCGGTCTTCAGGGCTGCATGTTTTGTTTTCGCATTGAGTTTCCACCCACTTATTCTGGTGGCAATCTTTGGCGGGATTTTCAAAATCGGTGATCGTTTTATGCCATTTTGGCGCCTCGTTGCATCGCCTGTTCAGGGTGGAGCAGAGGTTGCACCAGGCAAATGTGCCCATAAATCGATAATCGTAATCTATCTTGTACGTTTTTCGCCAAAGATGAAATTGCCTGTAAGCCGTCTCGTTTTTATCTAACATTTTCAAATATTCTGCTAGCGCTTTTGGCGTCTCAAAGTCATCTGCGTGAATGAAGGAATTGGGGGGCACTTTCACGCGCTCCGAGTAGTCCTCTTTATTGGCTCCAAACACCACCGGAACTGCATTGTTTCCAAAACCCTGCATCCATATTTTAAAACTCACGTAGTCTCTACAGTTTGAATTTTCGAATGCGAGGAAAAACTTGTATTCTTTAACCTTTTCGCATGCGTTCTTTGTGTAGTGTCCAGGACATTTCAACGTACCGCATTTGCCGAACACGTCGACCATCATGTATTTTTGGAGCTCCTCGACGTATATATCCCTACCATTTTTGACATAATAGCAATTGCTCATTAGAGCAGCCGCCAGTTTCGTTTTGCTACGAACAATGCTGTCGATATTTGTGTTCATCCTCTCGGTTTGGTTTTTCTTCACTCTCCAACCGTGCAACATGGGGATGTCCGCGTCCGTGCGATAGGTCATTGTCCAGTTGAACGCATATTTTCCAGTAAAATCTTCCATAGTGTAATCTCTCTCACCTAAAATCGCATGGAACGGCGATTCTATATTCAAATAAACCCAACGTTGCCATGGCGACCGTTCTTCTGGCATATCCTCGAAGTACCGTATGCCTCGAACTTCTATCACGACGACATCACTGTTCTCGAGCTGCGACTTGTCTCTAGTTATGAGGCAATTGTCTAAATAGACATTCACCGGAAGACCGTTTTCTTTGCTGAAGAAAGTCGGACTCCAGTCAAGAATGGTAAAATTTCGTCCTTTCTTCAAACCATGCCGTCTCATGCTTGGATTGCAACGGAAGTAGGGAGCTGGCAGATTCCAACTGCTGGAAATTTTGTACAGTATGAAAAAAGCACTAAGAATAACAACACCAATAACCACCGTAAGTGGTTTCATTAGTGGTCTCATTGCTCGAAAGGATATCGTGGGTACTATATAAAAACAATAAATATTTACCACATATTAGAATTCATCATACAGTAGAAAGGAAATTATCCACGTGCTTATTTATTTCGGCGCAATCGACATTTCCTCGATTCGGTAAGCCGGCGAAGATGAAAGACGAAAACATTAAAAAATTGTTTGAAATTGATTCTTCAGTGCAACTTGCAATGCAATTCTACTTTTGAGAGTTGTAAATTAGTGAAGAGGCTTCAAAATGTAAGTGTAAGAAACGCCAGGGAGTGTAATAAAGACAGAAGTTCCGTAGTTGCTAAATTTATCTCTCTCAAAAGAAGAATAGCATTGCAAGTTGCAAGAAAAATTGCACCGTGTAACTGGGCTTTTCATTCAAGGAATTATGAATGGAGGTCAATTCTCCCTATACTCGGGACCTTCAATTTGTGCCCCTTAAAGCATAGTATTGGACCCAGTTTGCTGTTTGTAGTGAAAAATATATTCTGACATTAATAAATAATACGGGCATATCAGCAAGTCAAGGGTATAAAAGAACCATGTGTGACACTTCTCAGTGAAAGAATAAACTCCCAAACAAACTCACAGAAACGGTTTCAGATGTTAGAGAAAAAGGCTATGACCCTATGTGCACATGAGCGTCGTTTTCGAGCGTATCAAAATCGTTTTTGCCTAGTGTATCGTTTTGACGCCCTGTCCACATGATTCAAGGGAAAATATTCTCAATATGTTAAATTAGCTGTAGCTTCTACAACTGTTTTGGCATGAAAATTTGTTGAGATAATCATCAGCTCTAACAACTCGTATACGGTGGGTGAGTAGCAAAAAAAATGGCCGACATTTTTGCTTAAGGTGGCTCCCTAGGATTTTGAGTGCCGGTTTGATGATGCAGAATTAAAACTTTAGTTTCGAGTTAATCTGGGGTTGGTATCAGATTACGTTTATATTTTCGTACATTGGATTGCCGCAGTTCATGTATTTATGTGCTAAAAAATCCTGCTTTATATAATAAGAAATACTGATTAAAGCAGCGATACCATAAAAGTTAACTGGACATTAAAGTTAACTGAAGTTAATATGTAGAGATGTTACAAAAAGAACTTAAAAAGCTATATAGATCAATAATGATCATGGCACTACAGATAATCTTTTTAATCTTTATACAATTATACACTGATTACCTGGTTGTTATTTTGATAGTTTCCAGTTGTGAAAATGCTATCTTCTCACATTTTAAAGTTTGCCGATCTATGATTTGAAACCAATTTTGAGTTAATCCGATCTATTCAACCAAGGGAAAACAAGATTTATTCAAATTAGGGAGGAGTTGGAGTTATAGGCAAAATAAATTACAATAAAGAACATTACGAAAGTTTCCCTAACTACAAAAGTTATGCAAATTTTTAACAAATTATAGGCCTGTATGCCTGTTTGAATATTGTATATTAGATGCAACCTGAATTTCTCGTTTATGTTAGAAATTCTGATCTTATGATAGCTATTCAAGGCAAATATGAGACCTATAGCCTTGTTTGTGTCAACATGACCAATAAATTCAAGTCTTTCCAGATTCAGGTCTACAAGCACGGCTATAAAGCCGCACCAGGATTTGGAACCTAGCAATGTAATAACAAGGGTGCGGTTACAGGGGCTGGCTTTGGCAAAATGAACATGGTTGTGGAGTACATATAACAACAGGTTCAAGGAGGGGGCTGTTTATTTGAAATTTCCCATATTTCAAATCTTTTTGGTACTTAACCTCTATTTTGTATGTTTATTTTGAAACATATATATAGAAAAATAATATTGTTTATTATATGTGATCTGTATAATATATCCGTCCCATAACCAAACCATGGTCCGTATGTTCCTTATCTGGACCAGTATCCCGGATGTTCCATGCAGTTCAGCCATAATATAATAAACAGATTATTGTCCTCACTTGTTCGTTCTGATATATGAGACATGGCCATATTTGAACATATATGAACCTCGCTCCTTCATCCCTTGGTCCAGAACAGACCTTGTCCTCAGTCAATAATCAGTTAATATATTTATATGCAGACAGCGTGCATGTTTACTTTGCAATCTTTTAAACAGTTAGCATATTTATAGTATTGGGCATTTCCAATTAACATCCGCACCAATGTTGAGAAAGGCCATTTTTTCTGTCATATTTTCAAAATCTTATGTTCCCTGCGTGGAAATTCCTGTAATCAATCAGCATCTTGGCTAGTGCCAGAGTGCTACAACAACTTTACAGGGCGAGGATGCCTTTTAATATTTTTTAGCCTGTATAGGCTTTATAGGCTTAAACTGCTTAAATATTGCTTATCTTGACTGAGTAGTGAGTGAATCCTCAGCATATTTTTGCACTTACTCATCATGGCTTTTATAACTTGTCTATTAAGATTCGTTAGTAATTAATCAGATGAGCTTAATTAATAACGTTGGGTAGGGTTACGGTGTAGACTAAAGTCTCAATAGGCATAGCCCATATAGTCAATACCGCCCATAAATTGCCACTGTCGTAGCATCTGCATGTTTCGTTTGTTTTTACTCTTAAAAGTATAACTAACTCGATACTTACATAAGTTACATTAGAGTAGCAAATAAAATAACAACTTACTCAAATTGTCGTCACAGACAGTGTAAAATTGAATTCATATTCACATAGACAGCCCAATGGCGAATGGTTTTATTTGAAATAAAAGTGCACTAAAACAATGAAAATTAGAACAAAGCTATCCGTATTTTGATTAAATTGAACATGTATAATTTATTCATGCTAACTAAAATCCTGTATATTACGCAACGGGCGACTCGCGTACCTGACAGAGTTCAGGCAATGTAGGCATTATACAGGATATATACAGGATTTTAGTTAGCATGAATAAATTATACATGTTCTATTTAATCAAAATACGGATAGCTTTGTTCTAATTTTCAATGTTTTAGTGCACTTTTATTTCAAATAAAACCATTCGCCATTGGGCTGCCTATGCTCAGACTATGTATGGGACTAGGTATGTCTACTGAAGTGACCCACGAGTATATTTTATACCATATCTGCGTTTAACTTCATTGGATAAACCGCGGATTTTGTATAAAATATACTTTATACGGTCACATGGTATGAATCTATGTGCAAAGTTATACAACCGGTTATGATGACCAAGTCTGGATAATTAGTTTAGTTTATAAAAAACATCGTCTCGTAGTCGATAAAGACTGAATCCATATGATGAGTACAAAGGAATGATTTTTTTAAGAAAATCAATTTACACAAGTAATACGATTTTATATCTACTAATATATAGCTAATTTATTATACTATACTATTTTAGAGGTTAAAAACTAATAATGTGCAAAGAAATTCATTACCTTATGTTTTTAGCATAATAACTAAAAGTAATCGCTTTGGAGTTCCCATATCCCAAAGCGATTAGTACCTTCTGGTGGGACCTCAAAAGTTCTTTCTTTTCGTAATAATTGCCTACTTTTGATGGTAGAAATTCGGCAAGCTTGTGGTCAGCGTTTGATACAATTGCATTGAAGGGTTTATGGGAGAGATACTCACGTATATTTTCTAAGGTTGGGATACCGGTATCCCAGGTCAGCATATATTAACCTCATTTCTCGTTTTCGTATACCTTTTTATGTCTTTTGCAAGATATTGTGGCAGCGAACTATGGAATAATTGGCACGCATGTTCAAGAAAAGACCTTATGCAGCTAAAATTTTTTAATGACTTCGGTGACGAGGTGTCATCGGCGAATTTCCACATTGTGGAAGTGTCTTCAGGTAAAGCACGATCGTTTATCATAGCCAAAAGCAACCAGGGGCTAAGTCGTGTACCTTGAAGGACACCAGCGGAACTTTTAACCAATCAGAGAAACAATTTTCATTTAGTTTCATCCTTTACTTTCGTCAGTGACGCAGTTTATTACACTAAATTTGACACCGAAACCAAATAATGACTGGCATTACTACATATTACTGAGCATATTTCTTATTGCTTAACAGCGGTAAAAAAATAGTGTGGGTAATCATCAAGTCCCATTCACCAGTAGACGGGAAATTAAAAAACATGGCCAAATCCATATGGTCTGTTTGTTGTCCAAACTAGATTGCTGTGAACGTACGCTTGGCGTACCTATTTTTTACTAGATTTATTACCTATACCCACTTACCCAGTGAACTCCCTATACCACAACCACTGACTTATGCATAAACAGAATAACGTTTATTGGCTATGGTAGTTAATTAAATATGATTCTCCGTAAATTGAGCAGTATATTTATTTCACGCTGTTTTATACGACGAGCTGTCACAATTCCTTCCAAATTTTGTGATCGAGTAAATATCAGTGCAGAAAAGGGATGTGACGGTGAAGAATTGAATGCTGTCAAAAGTCGTATTTCTGGTAATTTGCTTGTTTCAGATAACTTTATAAGTGAAGAAGAAGAAACAATGTTATATGACGAAGTAAGGGCATTATTGGAGAAGAGGAGTTACCAAAATGAACATTGGGATGACGTAAGTAGAATTTTGTTAGGACTAATGCATGGGTATATAAAACAAAAACAAACAAATCTCCCTAGATTAGATATTGATTCAATTTTATTAATAATTTTCTATTTCTTCGATAACTTCAGATATCTTAGTATTCTTTGTTGTATAGCCATAACAATATGCCTGCCGAGGAACTTTAATCATCTATATGATCTAAATATTTGTTTTGGTGTGAAGAGTCCTACACTTCAATGCAATAATAAAATAGTGACATGTATGATTAATAACAAATGGAATGATTTGCTTAACTGCACAGTAGGGTAACCATAGCATCTACACCCTCTCATTATGTACATCCCCCTCATGTGCATTGTGCAGGAGATTATCAATGTAGATCCCAACAGGATGGATTGTCCTGAAATGTGAAACCTAGTAATTTTAGCCAGTTTTTTCTTCTATGCCGTCAATTTCTTATGATTGAAAGATATTATCATTAGCACCATTGCCCAGCGACTTCAGCAAAAGTTGTACGTAAGCATAATTAGAGCATCAGTGGTATTAGTTTCTTTGTATGCAAATTGATCTGGCCCAATCACAGATTTAAATGCAGATGCAATTTCTTGTTTGTAAACAGACCTTTCATATAATCTCATAATGGTGTCTGTAAGCAATATACATAAGTCAATAAGCAATGTATTCTGCCAATGTAAATTGCAAATTATATGTATATTTAATTTAAGTTAAAGGGAATTCTTTAAGGTGCTTGCTCCATATTAGAAAAAAACGATCTCACAGATATTTTTTTTCAAAACTTGGCAACTATGAACCTGTGTCATCCTTGATTCATATTTTGACTCTCAAGTATCGCCCTATTTTCATGCATGCACACAATCATGATTAACTTTTAGGCATGACAAGAAATATGGGTCACTTTTTATTGTATTCAACTGGTCAGTTAATATATTCACAATAACATTAGGCCTGTTACAAAATTCATAGTGCTCTGAAAGGTAGGGGTGTGTCACAAGACAGTGTCACAGGAGATGAGTAGTGTCACTGGTGATTTCTCAGGATGAAGGTACCTATGGCCATGTTTCCATGGTAGTTATCTTTCCTATATTCCGCTTTTGCAAACACATAAAACGCTTTTGCAAAATAGCTTGCAGAATGACAGTTTATTTGCTGACGTTCTCATTGAGATACCATGTCTTAGCTAATATACTGTTGTTTTTAAATTTATGCTAATTATTGATTATAATGGCTGTCTGAAACCTAGCTGCAGTGCCTTATATATACTATATACTGTAACAAGAATACACCATACATTGAATTACAGGCAATTCATGGGTATAGAGAAAGTGAAAAAGAAAGTTGGTCCAAATCTTGTATGATTGTCTTCAAAAGAGTGAAGGAGGCCTCGTTTGATTCCTCGCACACACTTTTGCCTTACGTTCATATTCTGGACCTGGATTCCAAAGGGTGGGTATTAACAGTGGCTTACGGGGGACGATAATTAGTGGGGGGGGGGGTGGGGTCAATCACATATTCATATATTGTTGTTGTGGAAGATTAATTGTCTTTACAAGTCTGTCAACATGAATATGCCCCCCCCAATTGTCGTCCTCTCGTACGCCACTGGGTATTAACAAGTGAACTCTATGTAGATTGGAATGATGACTCTAAAAAGGCTGAAAACACACTGCATTAAGGGCATCGTTTTCCTTACACTAAGCTATCAGATGAAAAAAGGCATTTTTCTCGCTTTTTGCCATTCTTCGACACTCTCCCTAGTCCTTCTGAAAGTGTTTTTCTCATTACTGATTGTTTTTGTCTAACTGTAATGTTTTTCACCATTATATGCAAATGTGGCTATACGTATCAATTAAATCAGCTTCATCCAATCATTGGACCTGAGAGACTTTATCACTGAAATCACGTCACATTTGATGCTTACCTTGTACCGCAAAATAGCTACAAGCTAAAGCTCTAATCTCCAACCGCATCGGTAGATTTTGATTTAAATTTCTTCAGAAATCCATAGCAAACAGCGTTGTTAACAAGGTTCAGTTTAATAATCTTCAACTCTTTATTTACAGTACAAATGTTTTTACAATGTATTGTGATGTATTTTCAGATTCATCAAACCTCATATTGATAGCGTAAAGGTAAATCTACCTACATGTTGTGCATATTTATTTATCATTGCAAATGAAATTAATCCGTTTCAACGTGTATTCTACTGACATCATGCAATCAAAAACGCAAATTGAATGAACATTTTTCACGTGCGAAATTTTTTTATAATCAAGTAATAAAAAATGTATGAGCAAAAAATCCAAGCCATTTTGAACATTCCAGGCACTTGCCGAGCATGCGCTGTTAGTCACTTTACGCTCACGTGCACTGAAAAAACGCCATATTTAATTACTATTCGCCCACTAGTATACTGTATACTATTTGCGAGAATGACGAATCTTGTACTCCTAATATATAAAATGATGTTTAAGGTTTTTCTGAACAAGTTTCCAGAACGAGTTAATTTGTAACGATCATTTGTAATCATCATCATAAACATTAGAAATCAAGTAAATAATACTGTTAAAGAAGATAAGAAATAGTGGTATACTTTCTAAATTTTGATTTTACGTCTGAGCATAATACGCTGTGCAAGATTTATCTGCATATTTACAATCTATGGTAACGAGACGTAATAATCTACATAAAACACTATAAATTAAGACTTTCTTCAAGAAAATTCAATTCGACTTTTCTCAATGATGCCGACTACAAACCCTTTAAACTTTAAACTTCTTCGAAATCACAACCAAAAATGTGAACCGTCAGTTAACGTATTCTTTTTTGTTTGCTTTTAACTAAAAGTATTTTTGCCATCTAAAATAACAAAAAGCAAAAAGTAACTATGATATCATTTGCTCAATACGAATAGGACTTTTGACCTTGGCTAAGATTTTAGTCAACGTAGGCTAACATTCTAGTCAAGCTGGTGTACAATTCCGCCAGTCTTCATAATGTAGCGTTCATGTTCATGTCAAACTAGTATATACTATTGTTGCTTGAACGATTCAATTTGGCAAAATGGGAGGAAGGAACTTGTCAAATCTGATTTCCATATCGTTTTCGTATGCGAATAAAAGCCATGCAGAAAATTGTCCATGTTTACCTCCAAACTTATATAACTTTTAAGACGTTCTCTGCATTACGTTTTCCTGGTAGGAATTTACTAATCTATTTATACTGATTCATGAAAGCCACGGCAATATTTAATCTTCTAGGCGGTAACCTTAAAGCTGTTGAAAATCTCCAAACAAGTCTGATTTTCCGCTACGCTGGTCCAAAATCGCACACTCTGAGACTGTATATAATTTTACATTTTTTATTCAGGAATCAACACTTTACCACAATTCACGCTCTAATACACAACTATCTTATTGTGTGGCACATTGGTTTCGCGGTTGCTGCTACGTGCTACCTCAAAACCTCCATTTCCTATGCTATATGATACTACACTATTAACATTTTCATAACAATTCCTTTAACACTACATATACAATTTACGACCATAACACTGTATATTTGCGCATACTATATAAATGACTGTTTAATTATGGTTGCTATACTCAACCATGTCCATGCGTTAACCTAATATAACCAAATAACTAAATACCTAAAATAACTAATACAACGAAACCTTCCGTCTCGTTCTGAATTTCTTTGGATTACTAATATTCTGCTGTTTCTGCATCATTTTTATATAGTTCTGTGGTTCAACAATTGCTGGACTAAGCCTCCTATCACCGTCAATAATGCGATTTCGCCACGAGAAATTCAATCGTGTTACGATAGACGCCCTCCTCCCTCGAAGATCTTTATACATTTGCAGGTAAAATGTAGCTACATGGCTTTGTTAGCTTCACATTTTTTTGTTGCAACATTTCCGTAAATATTAGAAATCGTAAAATTCTGCTTTGAAGTCTTCTCTTTTTGTAACTTAAATTATAAGTTAAATTATAATTCACGATTTTGTCTATCTAAGGAATGCAATTCGCTACGAATTTACACATGAAATTCTTCCACCTGAGTTGTCAATTTGGAATGGAGATATAATTGGGCGATGTAGAAGGATTTCTTTAATGCTACGCTGTAAACCAGAAGAAAATTCTGTCAAGGCAACGTGAAATACAGTTTTTCGGTAAGTTTTCAAACATATACTTTACAGGGCGCATCATCTGATTGAATCATCCTCGCATTCCAGCAGATCACTTTTCCCCTATCTTCTGCGCCAGGGACATTTTTTTGCAATTTTTTTTTTTTTGTCAATTTACGTTTCGTAAAGCCGCTCAGTGGCCTTACAATATTGTTAATCCAATGTTACGTCCGATGCCAAGCAGTAAGTGTCGGTGACAGACGCCAAAACAAAAGATCCTGCAAATTCGAAATCCGATAGTCCTGTTAATTAATATTTGACGAGTGTATTTATATCAGTATTTTTATATCGGCGAACTGCGAATGTAACCACTTGATATACAAAGTATCTGACAACGATTCACACGTAAATATTTGCTTGTATATGCACTATTTTTGTGTAATATAATATATAAACACATAAACATTAAAAATGCTTGCAATGAAGTAGCTAATATTTTTGGTGAAGTATTACTATCATAATTTTATACCATGACGTTTAGTGTCAGAATGAATTGGTGAAATTATACTTGTCACAATTTGTTTTTGGGAATCGGTTGTTCGAAAGGCGTTTAGCTTAAGGGATGGATTCAAGGGGATTAATTCACATGCACCCATGCAATGTTTGTTGTATATACTTCGACTTGGCTTAATTATTACGTTATATGTATATATGAGTCGATTATAAAATATCCCCTTTATTCCGATGGGGTAAGCCACCATTCATACAGCTTGAAAAGGAACATATTATCTGTTATAGTAGGTTCAATGATAGTATGAAAAACATTTTTTACTATTGTGCCCGCGTTTGGGATGGCGTAATTGGGTAAAAAGCTAAACGATAAATTACAAAAACTCACAGAATAAAGCCGCTTGCTGATGTTCTTACTCCTAATCTTCAATATCTTTGATATTTAATAAAGTTCTTTTCAGTTCGGATACTTTGTTCACAACGGACGGGTCAAGGCGAAAGGCAGTTGATTATCTTGGCCAGTCGGCACTTTTTTGCCATTTTTTTTATGCTTCTTTTGCGAAAATAATATAGTGCGCGAAAATAATTTTTATTAAATAAGAGAGTGAGTTCAAAGTTTATTCCATGGTATTTATGGTATCTTTGAGAAAAACAAAACATGCGTAGAAACACGCGTGGGAGTTTGGGAGAACTCGAAATAACGTGGAAAAACTCGCCCTACGGGCTCGGGAGAACGAGAAATAATCAGTGTTATTTGTACGTTATTTCGAGTTCTCCCAAACTCCCACGCGGTTTCTATAACTGTATATAGAAACACAGGAAATTTTTTTTTCTATTTCTTTTATAATATAATTCAATAAAAAGATTTTGTACATACATTATAATTCGAATCAATTACAAATTCACATTACATCGCTTCGCTAGTCAAGTTCATCGGGAGAATTCCCGCGTTTTTATACAGTTTTAGTATACACCCGACTGTTGTCTATTACAAATCCTACATTCTGATTGGCTACTCAACCATTGACTATTCGTGATGGTGAACGTTTGAGAAAAATATGCTCGCGCGACTGAATAAAATTGAATTAAATTATTTTTCGGTGTAATTGCGGTGTATCGATTATTTTCTCGAAATTAATATATGTAGGTACAGGGTGTATTGTAAAACAATTAGACAACTCGCCTTCGTTGTCTAATTGTTAAATACTGAAACACGCTTCTCGACCAATCAGCACGCGCGTACTATAAATGTTTATAATAAATATTTTATTATATAAAATATGCAGTGTCTTATTGAGGAATCCGGCATTGTGAAAACTGATAATAACACATGTGCGATCATCGTGTTTTATCCACGAATCTGGAATCAGGTATACGCTTCCTGATTAAAAATTTTAAAAAAATTAATATAAAAAACAAATACATGGTGCATGCGCTCACTCGTTCGATATCATTTTCAACACCCGAAATAAATTCCATATCTCCAATCATCCATGTATTATTCTCTATTTAAATCTTCTCTAATATGTGATATTTTTAATCCTCTCCGCTGATTTTCCCGGGCTTTGCCGTGCGCTGAGTGCGAAGTGGCCTAAAACGGGTTATAATTTTAAATTTGTTGAATTATAAATAGCTCGCATGTCGTATTATTCACAGATCACTTTTAAACAAAGCTGTAACCAGTACGTGTGTATAGTCTCCTGGGCATAGCTATACATATCGTGACTTGTTTAACTCAGGAAGTAGGGTTTGCTTATCTTGGCAATGGTTTCGTGCTCTGCCTTTTTTTCGTATATCAGCCAATAGAATTGTTGTATATATTGCTCATACTGCATGGCTATAATTCTATGTGCCAACGTGAGAATGTTGCCGTATTCATACGAAACCTCGGCCAAAAAAAGCATACCGGATTTAAGCGGTTATAAGCGGAACAGAGATACATAGATAATTAGGTATGCGCACGAAAGTAATCACTGTGAACATCTGACAAAACAATCTATTTTCATCCTTTCTGTATAGATGTTACCAAAGCACAATATATATATACATAGACTGAACTTTCTCTACGTCTTACGTTGACTGAAGTTAGAAATCTGTTGTGTACGTGTTGTTTTACATTTTGTTTAACATATATTTATTAGCCATGCATTTTTTGTTTCATTGCAAACAAATTGCTATACGCAGAAATGCAGAAGCAGGCTAACGCATGCATGCATTCAACTCGTTTATATTAATTCATGCAGCGTTTTTGGTATAATCAGCTTTGAACGATGGCCCCATTCGTATGTTTTCGACGTCAGCTGTAGAAATTTGCCTACTACAATTGATACCATCGAGGCATCACTGCCTCGGAGCGAAAAGTTATATAAACAATTGCGCTATTTTCGTATCGGAACTCTATTTCTAAACTCTTAAACTTCTTTAGGATCAAGTGCTTAACAATTAATGCCTAATCCCGTCTTGTTTGTATAAGCAATCGGAATATAAATGTTCATGCAATGTGTGTATATTAAGGTAAATCCACATCCTCCTTAACACATGTTTATTGTGTTACGCACGCATATGTATGAAAATAACAACTTGTAGGAGCATGCAGCTTTTGTTGTAGTGATAAATCCCGTCTCTTCTATTGGATGCATATACTCAGGGCCGCTGAGAGAAATTGTGGGGCCCCGGGCAAAGTTTTTTCTTGGGCCCTATGACGTCATGCTTTTAAATCTCTGCGAGGCATAAAGTTCTTCAAAGCGATGTGAAAAAGTTTAACAAATTATTCTTTCTTACAAACAAACAATATCAATTAACTAGAAATTAAAATGAATGTCCCTCGTACTTTAGACTAGTGTGCGAATAATAAACCAAGTCCAACACTTTTGTGGGTGCTTTAATTTTAGGTTATTTCTGAAGTCAGGGGCCCCTTCAGCCCCCCTGCATATACTTACAGGAAAGAAGCGGTGTAGAATATCTTCTTTCATAATTCCTTATTGAGGTTTTTTTCGGAAGAGAATGTTTGCCTTCCCGCACGTAATCTCAGACTATTTTCAATATTGTCAATTTCGTGAGTGAAGTTGACATAAGATGCTGAGATAAAAACTCAACGCATGACTTTATTTTTATGTGGTTGAATTTAGCGAGATTAAATTTGGCAAGATTAAAGTTGGTGTAAGATTAAAGTTTGCAAGTCCTGATATAGTCATGCCCATAACTTAAGGCATTTCTGTTTGTTGTTAAGGTCACAAATGCGTTTCCGTCCTGCATATTAGTTCTAAATTTATAGCTTTTGCAGTAAGCTTATATCATTACTCTACTAAAAACACTATTCATTCTTTTTGGTCGCGAACTTATCACATGCAGGAAAAATCCATTGTAGCATAATTATTGCTATAAATTAAATGTAATCTTGACAGAATGTTCCTCTTTCTAAGTAGCTTTCGTTTCGACTTTGAGGCCTTCCCTCATATATATATAACTGTAGTCAAAAGTGACATTGCGTCTTTTTTGAATCAATCGGAACACAATCTTGAAGCACCTTGCACGCAATGCCAACTATTTCCTGCCATGCATGGCAACAACATATACAAAGGCAATTGGTTACGTGCGCGCACGAATTTCAGCTGTTTCAATGACAGGATATATACAGCACTTCTCTCAACCCGATGTTTTTCACATAATTTTGCCCGTTTTTACGTCGACAGTTATATGCAATGGCGTCAATATAGATTTATATCATTGAGATAAAAGAACTGTTTGACTTAGGAGTTGGAACATATTCAAACTCGGCAAGCGTTGTGCTTATGACAGCTAGCGAATTATATAATATAGATGCATTTGTACTTTGCTATCACATCAACTTGTAACAATGGTTTTTGGATCATATTAGCCTATGTTTGATATATATTGGCTGGAAATATTATTAAGCGCAATGCATGGTCGGAATTCTTATATTCATTAGCTGTATATGATGCATTCAATACATCGTCGTATCCAGTCGCGAAGTCAGCTCTATATAATTGGGTGTGGGAGGTGGGGGCGGATTGTTCATAACTCAGGTTTCTCGATCGTAAAAACAATCCATCTTCACTTCAGGATAAAGAAATAAATGTCAAAAACCAATATTAATAAATCTTCCAATTCATATATCTAGGTCCTGCCACTATTTGTATTTGCTTGAGTGATGCCACATAATATCTTTGTATTGAATTATACCACTACTAAAATTTTGTAGTTGAACATATCATAAAAGTCGCCCCGAACTTTGAATAGCGTAGATATAAAATATATAATAATATCTTCCCTCAGTTCCAATTCTCTTATCTTTATATCCCTTCGATCTGGAACATGCACATACCTATATATTCGTAGATTCAGTACCTTTTTCCAGTCTAATATTGATTAAAAAGGGGGTTATTGAAAGCATTTCATTGCATTCTATACACTGTTACATATTTTTGCTATAAACCAGAACTTTCCTTTAAAATTACACGCCCTTTATTCTGATAATGTTATCTGCGACTTAGTAATCTTAATGTTGACAGAGT